AGTTAATTAAAAAGAAATCAAAAGAGTCATGGCAGCTCCTGGTTAGACTGACAGACACAGACTTGCACAACTAATAGGAAGATTTAGGAGTTATGTTAAGTCACAAGAAAGTTGTTAAGGCATTACTGCTAACAGGATTACCAACTCTGTATGCTGCCAAGACACTTAAGAAGAAAAAAAATGCTGTCTCACACAAAGCAGTACAAACTCTGGGCATTTTCTAAGCTACACCATCACTGCTACCTGAGTGTATATTAAGTAATTCCTCCTCAATCTATATAGTCACATAGTACTGAATATAGCCAAAAAAAAGCAGAGCAAGCTGATTTAAAAACTGGCAAGTTTGCCAGTTTTGACTTCTATTCACCATGCACCTCAGTTCTCTAGTCTAGTAAGGATGCCACCTTCCAAACCCCTTTCACTGTTGTCTTCCAGAAAAACTTTCGTAACCATGCAAAAGTTTTCTATCTGGATATTCTATCCAAGAGGACACTAGCACAGGGCACTGCTGTGCCAAGTACTACACAAATGTGAAACAAAATGGTTCCTGCTCTGAAGAGCTCACTGTGTGAGGAAGCTTGTTCTACTCAGTCCTTATATGTCTAACTCCATTGTAATGTCTGCTAGAGCTTTCTTAAACAACTTTTTTCCAAACAAAAAGCCCCCCATAACTTCAAACAAAGAACTCTCATATTATAATCAACTGCCTCTTAACCATATATCACCCAACCTGCCCATATAGATGCATAATGCTCTAATTTTTGAGTACCTTTTTTTGTTTGTTTGTTACAGCTACCACTTATTTTGAGATTTCACAGACAAAAATCACATTGATATCAAGAAAGCAGCTAACTGCATTCTGACAAGTGTTTAAAAGAAGAAAAATACAAAATCAAGCCATTAATAAACTGCTACCAGGTCAGACATGTTTGTAGAAGAAAAATGGTGTAAGAGCTCACTTTCTCATAAAAATGATACTTTAAGCAACGAATCACTCACGCCAACCAACTGACAGAATACTATTTGGGGAATTATTAAAAGAAACCGAGAAACAAGTACTGATTTTCATTATTTCAAAGGGAAACAAAACAGTATTAACAGTTGAAATGCAAAATGGAAGGAATGATATTGATGACTGAAGGAATGATATACGATATCATTTTGGGCAACCTGGTGTAGTGGAGGGTTTCTCTGCCCATGGCAGGGGGGTTGGAACTAGATGATCTTTGAGGTCCCTTCCAACCCTAACCATTCTATGATTCTATTCTATATGTTATGATTGTGACACTCTGTATAATGCTGCCCAGATTCTGATTTCTAATGGCTAATGTAAACTTAACCCTGGAATAACAGAATACATTGCACACCCTAGATTAAGTACTAGAATACAGCACAAATACTGCGTAAATATGCCTGAAGGTGAAGGTCTTTTTTGGAGCTGGATTTAATTTTTCCTTTGCCGAAGACCTTATCAATCAGCGATTATTCTGATCGTGGTGTTTGAATTTGGACTTCTCCAATGGTACAAAAGTGGGGCTAACATCCCCCCCAGCCTTGCACACTAATGGCTAAATTGCCTTGGACAGGCAATGTAGTTTCAGCCTCTTCAAACACAGAGAAGATGTGTGAGTAGAGTTGTTCCTAAAAGGTAAAGGGCCCTGCTAACAGCTAGGACAAATATGCCAAAGAAAGTTACTTCCAGTGAGTGACTACATAAAGGGACTAGTTAGCTTGCCTATCCTGTGAACTTGTTACACACAAGTACTTTTAAGTCTGCCCTTCCTGGCCAAATATGCCACTTGTTTTATCAGGTGGGCATGTTCCTGAAACCAGATTTTATGTCTCTATCTTCACAATACATTTGGCACCAGGAGATCAGCAAACTGCTGCTCTCTCTTTTTATTTTCTGGCAATGACAGAAAGGGTTAATTTAATTTCCAAAAGAGATATACATGGCATTCTGCAGGTTCATGTGTTAACTTACATCGAATGGTTTGTGAGCCAGTGGCCCATTCTAATATGGGCTTGTAGTGTGATAAGAAGCAGATAGACATGTCTTACTCTAAATAGAAGATTCTTCGCTCTCCTGTGAGGTATCTCTTGAAAATTTTATATACATGAGAACCAGTGGTCACCACCAAACACCACACCAGCACAAAACCAGTTGGTGAAATAGCTAAGAACAGACCCAGTCTATCCACATCTATAGTGGATTTTGTTGCTGAACACAAGAGGAGCAAGGTGATACTGAAGAAATAAAAAATGGCTTTGCAAGATTTAAGCCCATTAATGTGAGCTAGGTCCATTTGCTCTGAATTACTCCTTCCTCAAAGACTCAACCTTCTTTCAGCTGAAGATGACTAGGGGATTATCTCCAGAGCCCATTAAGTGATGCTCAGAGGTTGGCCAAAGGCACTGCTGCAGAAGGACATGACACCTGCGGGCGTGACAAGGCTGCTTTTTGCATTTGGGGCAAAAGATGGAATCTGGGATTTTGGCACTTGGCTGCTGAGTACTACGTTTAAAGCTGCTCCAAACACCTTCTGTGAGACTAATCCACACAGTTTCTCTATTGAACGGTATTTCCTGATATTCATCCTCAATTTGTTATTTCTCACTCCTAGTTTGTGGCTCTAATTATTGCTTCTCCTCCCTTGGTTCCTTCAACTATTTATGTGTTCCTAATGAGGAGAAAAGAGAAAAATCAATCTCTAAGAAAATTGGAATTTTATTAAAGTAAGTATCATGCATATCTAGTTAATTACTTAACAGTTGGCATGAAAGCATTTCACAGTGAGAGAGCAGCACCATATTGTTCTCCAAGTGCCAAAGCTAGCAGGTACTGTCAGGAAAAAAAATAAATTGACCATCATGCAATGCATCCCCTCAGTGTACCAGAGGGTATGTAATCAGGTTTTAAAAAAAAATAGTTCTAATCCTCTTTCCATTTCTTTCCATTAAAAGAGAAAACCATAGCATTTACTTCCCTGTGTAATATTTCTTTCTAAGATCCTCTGAAAATACATGCAAAAGAAAGCATAACTTTGAAGTACTGACAATACTGTCTTGCTAAGTATGATGCTAGTGAAATGCAGGTACGACTCAAACCTAAGGACAGGTTTTTCACTCCTGGAAACACGATGTCTTGGAACAGTGGATTCCTTATCCAGTGGTGACCTTTGTTCCTTACCTCAATGCTAAAGTGTGACATCCTGACAAGATGCCAGCTCTGGGATGTTATGAACAAGAGTGTCACCTAGCCCAGACAAACTGGATGGACAAGTCACATGCCGTGCTCAGGCAGGTGATAGAGCATTTCGGTACACGAGGATCACTTCCCTGTAAACACAACTACACTGAATTTTCAGCTCCACAGTACCATTTCATAAAGTGAATATGAGTTGGGGGATTGTAACAGTCAATGACTCAGATTGTTTCAGTCAGAAAACAGTTTTCTGCAGCACCACAACACTAAAGCTTCAGGACTTGAGGAGGCTTCACCACAGCTCAGAAGCTTTGATACAGAGATGCTGTCTGTCTGATGTACTTAGAGGTGCATAATTTCTTTTCACTCTGAGCAACTGCAAGAAAACCCTTGAAATCTTGCTTCCAGTGTAAGACTGATTAAATTGCAGTCTCCCACCTTCCTGATCCTGTCAGTCCTTTTACAAGCATGGCATTTCCACCAGTCAACTTTTTCTCATGTACATGACAGTTATCCCTATTTTATACAGTCCCCTCTGGTGAAAATCATCATGTACTCATAAATAAAATTTTTATGCTACTTCAGACACATGCCAGACAACGCACCTGCTACCATTTCCCTCTCTCCATCTACTTACTTTGGTATCTCCTTAATGTAGCACTCAGGTACCTTTTTTTTCCCCCACCCTATCTGAAGGCAATATTGTTTCTGACTGCATCCACTTTAAAGGAATTCTCATGTTTCAATGCTTGGAACACTGCACACGGATTCACTCCTTGTGGTAAACCATTGTGCGTATTCATTTGGTTCTCATTTAATAACACTGAAAATAGTCTGGATTAAATGAAGAAGAAAAATCCACAATTAAGAGTGCAGACTCCCACATCAAGCTATAATTCTTACTGTGAACTTGAACCTTTTTACTACAACGTGCAGGACAGTATCATTCCATATAATTCCCTCAGTGCTTTATGAAACAAATATGAAGTCATTAGGGGGTTTTTTTTGTATTATCAGTTATCCTCCCTATTTTTGTCCCAAAGAAAATGTATTTTGTTTAGATATAATATTAACTTTTACACAAAACCAGTCTAGTAGGGTTTAATTATCCAGAATGTGGAATATAAACAAATCACTCAACTTGACAACAGTAAGTGTTCTCTCTGAGGACTTTTACCAAACTCTGTACTGTTTTGAAATTAGTTAAAAGTCGTCAAGACAGTGGGGTTCAAATATTTCAGTGTCTGTAAAGGCAACAGAAGCATCTGTGGTGGGGTATTAAATACACTGGAAATCAATTCTCAACTCTGATCTTAACTATGTAACTTGACATCGCAGCAACTTCCTTCTACAACACAACCCCTCTTTGCTTCTGTGTTTCTTATTGCAATAAAAAGCCTGAAATTTTAAACACACAAGAATTAAATTAAAATTTGTAAACAAGCAATAATATTATTCTGTTTTCAATGTTCTAAATCCTTAAAGTTCATCTTAAATAAACATCGTGTACCAGCTCCTTGAACAGCGTTAGCAACGTAAACAGCATTTAAAAATGCAAGAAGTTCAACTCTGTAAAAATTACATCTGCAGGCTGTTAAAGGAGAATCTGCAAGAAATGTCAAACAGTACTGTTCCTTGTGTACTCCACTGAAATAACAGGAGTTGCATCTGGAAACAGTTACTGGCACAGGACTTAAATAAAGTATTGCATTACCTTTAATGAACCAAATATTATTAATCAAGAGCTGGATATAACAGCGTGCCATCCAGCTGGCTTTTAATTCAATTAATTTACCTTCTTGGGAGATGACAATGGACTTTGATGATTTGATGGTTTTGCTGTCTAGAGTCCAGGTGACAGCTGCAGGGGGATCAGAGGAAATCCGACATTGTAAGACCAATTTTTCACCATCTACTACTTGAGCATCCTGAAGCTTCTCTGTAAAGGAGGGTGCTGTTCCTTTGCTTGCTGGTGGTTTGCTTGCAGTTGCTTTATTTTCAGCTTTTTTCCCAGTTATTCCGCCATCCACCACTGCACACCCATGTTCACAGTTTCTGTCGTTCTTCTCTTCTTTTTTCACTGCTGGTTTGGCAACAGGGGCTTGAGAATTGGGGGTCGCATTCTGGGCTTCAGAATTGGTGCGGGCATTTGGGGTTGGGGTGCTAGTGCTGCCATTCTCTGCAGGTGGCTTTTTCTTCGAACCCAGCACAGATCTGAAATCTGTAATGCCTGGTTTAGGAGGTGGCACCTTCTCTGGCAATGGGGTTTTTGGGGTGCCTTTCTTGGCCAGCACAGAGCGGAAGTCCACCTGCTGAGGAGCATGAACTTTCCTTTCCTCCTCTGACAAGGTCTTGGGTTTGACCTGCCGCTGCAGGTTTGCTCGGAAGTCCATTTGCTCGGCTGGGATTTCTTTCAATTCCTCTTCAGAAAAACTTTTGGTGCTGACTTTCTTGCCTAAAATGTCACGGAAATCAAGTTGCTCAGCTTCCTGCTGCCTCAGGCTCTCCTCTGTGTGTTCCCGAGTTTCCACTCGCCTCTTCAGCACACCTCGGACGTCTTCCTGCTCTTCCCCAGCTGTTCTGGTTTCACTGCTGTTCTTTTTGAAGCCACTTGTTCTACCAAATGTTAGTTTACCATGATCTCCACCATCTCTTCGCTCTCCAGAGCTGCCTGATTCCCTCCCACTATGATCCGAAAAAGAAAAGAAAGAGAGAGCCAGGAAAGGGGCTGGTTTAAAAATGTCAGGGAACAATCTCAGAGCAGGAACAAAATGTGTTTATAGAAGGGGAGGTTGATTAGAGGAGCACACTCCATTAGTTTATTGCATCAATGATGACTTCAGGAGCCTTATAAGGGCACAAACAAAAAAGATCTTCTCTACTCTGGCTTGGTACCATGTGCTTAGCCTGTATGATGAAAACAATTTGTTGGGCCACATTTGGGGATTAGGTTGAACAGCAGCCAGCCTGGGTCTGTAAGGGCAGGGAATTAACAGAGCAAAAAATAGAACCCACCCATGCAAGTCCCTGGGAAAAATACTCACTCTCTGAGCATTTCTGCTCTGGAAGCTGAACTCTCCCGCAGCATCAGAGACACCTGGCAGCTGCATTCTCCAACTTGGTTCCTGAAATATTTACGTGAAATCAGAAAAGCAGAGGTTTCTGCCTCCAAAACTGTAACTTGCCCTAGCAAAGTGATTGTGTGTTGCACTAAAACAGCTCAAACCCAGCATGGCATCCTCCTTTCCTGTGCCCAGCATTGTGGTGGTTGACTGAGTGGATTTGGTCCTCTTATATTTGGAGCCAAGCTATCTCAAATAGCTTTTACAGATCTGTTGTGTCTACACTGGGAACAACATACTTTCTGAACAAAAATCAAAGCAATTTACAGAATGAAACAGCTGCAAACAAACAAGCTAAAGGAAAACAAATACAAAAGCTGGAAAATCAAGGCAGAGGAAAGGGCTATTTTGCAAAGTTGAAAATCTTTCCAACTCTGCCTACTGTTTATTTATTCAAACCCAAGCTCTTAAGTTTTCTAGTGTTAAGATATTAAAAGCAGGGTCTCATTTCCTTCCCTCCCCCCGGCCCAACCAATCAGCAAAACCCATCTACATGGATTGCTCCAGCCTGTACATGTTTATATTAAAAAACATAAAAGTGTCACCATATATGGTGCTGAGTACTTATTCTTCCTTTTGCAGAGGAATACCATGGATGCCTTCTGGAAAGGGCTCCCATTAAAGAATTCATTTAAAGTGCTCCCCCCACTCCCGCTGCTCCCTCCCTCCTGCAGATATATATCATTCTTCTAGCCCCAAACACTCTTCTCCGCTTAACACAGGACATGCCAAAAGCAAAATTTAACTCCCCCAGGGCAGCAGTTGTGTAACTGTTGCCACTACTTCCCTGAACTGCTATTAAAAAAACAGACTTGAATTGATTAAGGACTAGAGATATCTTTTATTAGTGAAAATACTTTCGTCCTTCCCAGTTTAAGTATAAGCTTGTAAATGGACTACGAACTCCTGGATGATTTTTGTTTTTCAAACAAAAGTGGGTTTTCTACTGAAAACACTTCCTGGACATGAACAAGACACATGTGCGTTGGGAGAAGGAAGGAAAGAGAGGTGGGTTTTCCCAGCTGTCTTCTTTCAAAAAGACTAGATAAGAGCACCTTCAAGTCCACTCTGCCCTGAAGTTTAAAACCCAGACTCAGGAGTGCTTTTCTGTTAGTTTGGCATAAACATATCATCTGGCTGTTTGTTAAATAGTGCATAGAAATACATTCCTAGGTATGGTTCTGTTTGGGTGAACAAACTATAATTTCACCGTTCATTGCAACTTGCAATGAAGTCACACAGTAGGAAGGACCGTTAACACAGATGCAGCACTGAATTATGTCTTTATAATAGCAATTAGTGCCATCACCTTTTCAGACGGATTTCCCTTGCTTTCTGTTGAATTAAACAGTGTATCAGCCTAATACAAAAATCAAGCCTTTAACAGCAAGAAGAAATTGATGGGCTTGACTGAAGTAACTGGATTGCAAAGTAAAGGCCCTGCTGGTAGGAACAGATCTTATTTGACCTTAAGACCATTAACAACAAGAAGCCATAGAAACATTTTTTAATGCTTTATATCCAACAAGTGAGAATACGTACACTAGAAACTGTTATCAAAGGCAATCCATAAGGACAGCACTAAAAACCACCTCCCCAATTTCCTCCAATACAAAAAACTAGAGAACATCTGAGTACCAAACAGAAACTGTCCAAATGGCAGGAGAGGATCCAAGTCAATGCAGAGAGCATTTAACTCAGTCCTGCACTGGAGACTTGCCATTCTTACTTCCTCTTATGTGTGGTCTCCATTTGGAAGCAAGAGAAACAGAAACGAGGAAAGACAAATGGAAAGATAAATAGAAAGAATTGCAGATCACCTCCTCCCAACATACTGATGGACATCAAATGATGGCAGGGTACCAACAGTGCCGAAAACCTGTTGTGTTCAAACAATGCATTTCAAACCTGCCCCTTTTGTCATTATTGAAATCCATGATTTTTTTCCCTGCTTCTCAGAAGCTTTTAAGAAAACAGACATACTCTGAAACTGCTCAAGTACTTTATCATTTACCAGTGCTACAGGGCTGTTAGCAGGCTGTTGGTTTACCAGAAGATCCCTCCCGTAGAGCTCAATTACTCTTCCTTCAGGACTTAAAACCAATCCGAAGCTGACAAAGCAGGAGAAGCCATGCAAGCTGAAGTATAGACAATTTACAGCATACATCAAATAGGGAGGCACCACTGCTCAGCTGCTGTCATGACTGTATGGCAAAAATATTTGCCCACAAGAATTGTGTCACCAGTGGGAGAGGTTAAAGTTACAGAGACAGCACTCTCCCAGGAGAGGGATCTAGGGAAACTGAATGTGGTCCTGACAGCTGTGAAGAATAATAGCATTTCTGCAGGACGCACTTCTGCAATGCATCTTTCCCTCTGCAAATTCTTCACGTATGCAAAGCAGCAAATAAGGAAGGCAAAGTAAATCTCTCTAAACTAAGCTATTTTTCACAGACTTTGGAAAATAAAGGAGGGGGTAAGAAAGCAGGAGAGCATTTTGTTCTTTCTATTTTTAAAACCTTGGGAAGCACTTACAAGTTATGGCAATAGTGGGACATAGAAGTACCTAGATGGAAAAATGTCTCACAAGGTAGTTTTTTGATGTTAATTATGATTTCTGATCCAAACGAATGGCTGAAAACCAACCACCGGATACAAACGTTGAGTCTGTCTCTGATTCATCATATCCCCGTTCAAAAGTGTTGTCTTCTCAGGGCAAGGCCTGCTCCCAATGAAATCAAAGTGAGTTTTGTTACTGATTTTAGGAGCAGGGAGAACATAATTTTGTCTTCTGAATTCAGCTGCAGAGTCTAAAAACGTGAAGTTAATAATACTGACCCACCTTGAAGATCACAAGATGGAAAAAGAGACACAAGCCAAGAAAAATTAAGAAGAACTGAGTGGTTTAGATGCTAAATTCAATCAAGAATAATTTTGGAAACTTTGTAAATATTTTTACATTTATGCAATTTCAGAATCTAGGCAAGGCAAGATACATAGACACAGTTAGAAAAAAAGAGCTTTGCACCACGCAAGCACTACTTCAAGTCTTTCACGTCTCTGCTGTTTTGAATCGGCAATAACAATATTATTTCTGCATCTTGGGGTTCTCTGTATTGGCATTTTTTCGACAAAACCATAGACGAAGATAGATTTTAGTGGTTCTGTTATTGGAATGATAGACACGGATAAAACCTATGCTTAGTAGCTATGCTGTAAAGAAGTGTCTGGAAATATTGACTTTTGCAGGATTATTCCGTAGAATGCCCATGCACAGGACTTATCTTTAAAATGTCAAGGAATAATAATAATAAAAAACCACTAAAAACAAATAAAAGCCCAGCTGCAAAGCCTGAAGCAATTTTAAAAATAGCTCTCTGTCTTATTGTAGGATCGTTTTCCCTGGAATGGCTTTTATGTTCAAAATATCTTGAAATACTAGTTTCTTGGCAGAATCTACTCAAATATTTTCACTGAACCTTAGATGAGACTTATTGTCTGCATGTCCCTAGGAAGCACTCTCTGGAGGAAGAGGAAAAAAAGAACTGTTAATTATAATGTGGGGACACACTGAAAATTCCTACTGGCCTACCAAGTGTGAAACAAGTACTGCAGAGTAAATTACATTTTTAAAAGAATGAACTGAAAGGGGCAAAGACGCTGATCCCTAGCTATAGCTGGTGCTTCAGTGCAGGTAACTGTAAAGCCTCAGGATGAGGTTTTGCAACTCTTTTGTGAGTTAGTTAAAAGGAGAGAAAGTCCAGACACTCCGAAGCTTTATTGCTCAAAGAAAGCAACTAATCTACTGGATCACAACTTTAGCTGACATAAAGCAGATCAGCTCTACTGGCTTCAAAGAGGATGCTCTGATTTACCTCACTTGAGGGTTTAGCCAAAAGCTTTTTATACCTGAAAGACTAATAATTTTATTTGTATTTTACAGCATTGAGTGCGAGAATGGAATAGGAAGGATTCACGGTTTTCTTTTCTAAAAATAGACAATGTGTTGATAGCAGAAAACAAGGTTTGCAAACTGTATTTTACAGAAAGACAGACTATATTTACTGTTTGGTGTAATGGAATGTAATCTCACAACTGCTTTTTATATAACTTGAATTGCAGAGTATTCAAGGTACAACCGATTTATAAGATGAACGTTTATCCCTGATTTTATTCAGATTATCAAAATCTCTAAATAAGATTAATCAACACTAACCAAACTTTTATGAAAGATGGAGTGGGAGAGAAGAGAAATACTCAGTGCCTGAAAAGACAAAGGTTAACAAAGGTTGTTTAAGGAACTGCAGGAGAATATCTGAGGCCTCTCGTGTTGACTGTGCTCTTATAAAGATAAAGGCTATCTCAACAAACACAGTCTCTGTCCAGTACTCCAAATTTCTTTGCTTACCTTTTCATTTATGATGTACACACTGACTGAGAGAACATGAGAAAGTCATACTGGGATAAAAGGATACCAGTGCTTCAATCTCTGGAAGGATGAAAGCACACAAGAAGAAAAAGATATCTGTGGTTTTCTGAGTCAAAAAAGGATTGTTATTTCCCATTTCAATCCTGATAGTTTCACTGAGACTCCAACTGATTTATCTGACTTATCCCTCAACT